ACTTTAAGGGTTGTATTTTTGATTCATCTAGAAGGTATTTTTAAATAGAGAATGATTCATTTTCTCCATATGACAATTGTGTCGACATGATTGGTTAAACCTATTCTTCCCTAATTTGAAAGGCATGGCTTTAACTTATATCCAGTTCCCAAACACATGTGGGTGGGCATAGTTAGATGTTGATCTCATCTTTCTGGGCCAGTACCATACTTTATTGTAATATACACAAGTGTGTGTGTGTGTGTGTGTGTGTGTGTGTGTGTGTGTGTGTGTGTGTGTAACAATAGATATCTCAAGCAAAGCTTCCCTGACAGCCTTTGTTTTCCTCAAATGTTTACCAGCTAGTCCACTGACTCCATATGAATTTCAGAATCATACCCTACCATGGAAACACCGCATTTTTCACATTTCGGACTGTGCTGAATTACAGGTTTAGAGCTGACTATCGTAATATAGAGGTTCACCGTTCAGGAAGATAGCACCTCCTTATCACAGTAACTGCTTTGTTCTGTCTCATGTTGTTAATATTAGTACTTGGTACTTGGAGTATGTACTGCTGATGTAAGTGAAAATGTTTGATATCATCTCCCCCCACACCACACCATCATTCATCACATTTCCTGACAGTGGCTAAAAACAAGTGGATATGGTATCTCCATGTTGCCTGCAGTGTAAAGTTTAATGACTTTTTATGGCACACCAATCTGACTGTATTCTTTCCAGCACTTTCCAACATGTACTTTGTTTTTCAGGCCAACAAACATACTTTCCTTAAGGTTCCTGGAACAGGTCAAGCATTTCCACACCTGCGCATAAGCTATTCCCTCCACTTTTTTGTTTGTTTGTTTTTGTTTTTTGAGTCAGGGTTTCTCTGTTTAGTGAGTCAGGGTTTCTCTGTTTACTTTTGGCGCCTGTCCTGGATTTCGCTCTTGTAGACCAGGCTGGCCTAGAACTCACAGAGATTCCCCCTGCCTCTGTCTCCTGAGTGCTGGGATTAAAGGCGTGTGCCACCACTGCCCGGCTCAAATTTATACCTGTCTTAGGGTCGTTTTCCTGAAGTTTGACGCTAGGATATTTATTCAGCAGCATACTGTAGCTAGAGTACCACTGAAATCTTGCCTGATTTCAGCAACACACGTTTGTTTTCAAAAGAATAAATACTATTAGTAATGCAGTATTTCAGTACACTACGTTAAAAGGGGGGAGGGGTGGTGGTGGTTAATCCCAGCTCTCTGGAAACTGTGGAAGGAGAATCAGCCTGGGTTACAGTGAGTCCCTGGCCAGTCTGGGCTGTACAGTAACCTTGTTACTAGTCTCAAACATGGTAACAACAAAATGTTTGAAAGTCTGGCTTCCAGCTTTGAGTATCCGGAAAAGCTTCTGCTGGGCTCCCACTCGTGTCAAAAGACCAGACTGAGGGTAGCAGACATAAATGGTAGGGCCTCGCTAGATGCAGTGGTTAACCTCTAGTTCTACTAAGAATTCACACCCATTTTGAAGCTGGGTCACAACTCCAGACACACACAGTTGGCTTGTCCTTCCAAGGTTTCATGCACCTGTCACCCGCCATTCAGCCCCATAAGCTTTTCTCCAAGGACAAACCCAAGGTTACTGAGAAAGATAAAGGAGACCATTTTGAAATAGACACACGCTGGTCGCTTCTCCTTTTCTTTTCTAATCCAGAGACCTCTCTTAATTTTCAAGCATCACCAGGGACTTTCTCAGAAACCTAGATCGTTTGGCCCCAGGATTCCCCCATAGAAGGCTGTCCCTGCTTTCAGGAGAAACGCCCGCCCAGCCTTTGTTTTTTCCAACTGTCCAGAGAGCCATGTTTGCTACCGGCAAAGGGCCTTGAGTGACTGAGTCAGAATGACGGGGCAGACCCGAATTCCCTCCTCCCTGATAGGCCCCCTACTCCTCCTTTACGCTTCTCTGCACAGACTCTGGAGGAGAGAAAGCTGGTCTTTCCCAGTCCAACTTATAACTCGTTCGCCACCTACAGCACCACGCTTCCATTTTCCTATTTGTAAGACGAAGTCACGTATGTCACGATTTAACCACACGTACTGAGCTAAGGGATGTCCTATGGGACTTGAAAATCACCCTCCTCGGCACCCTCTGTCCCCATGGATTCCAAGGACCCAGATGCCTCTGCAGTAGGGCTGGAGCCAACTACCGCCCGCCCCGGGGCGCAGGAACAGCCTGCTTGTTGCCAGGCACTGCTCTTGGCAGGGAGGTTCAGAGCCCATTGCGCAGCCTCGCACACATAGATCCTCCCCGCCCGCGCCTGAGGGTCTGGGCAACTCGCCCACCGGAAGAGGCGGGTCTCGGCGGCCCGCGACGCTGATTGGCCAGGACGCGCCTGACGCGGTCTCCCGCTATAAGTACTGCTCGCTGGCCATCTGCGCCAGACGTTCTCGCCCAGAGTCGCCGCGGTTTCCTGCTTCAACAGTGCTTGAACGGAACCCGGCGCTCGACCCTACCGACCCCAGCCGGCTGCTCCGATCCAGAACCCTTTGCAACTTCGTCGCCCCACCGCTCCAGCGTCGCCGCCGCGCCTCGCCCAGCCGCAGCCATGACCACCGCGTCTCCCTCGCAAGTGCGCCAGAACTACCACCAGGACTCAGAGGCTGCCATCAACCGCCAGATCAACCTGGAACTGTATGCCTCCTACGTCTATCTGTCTATGGTGAGCGCGGCCTGGCCTTTGGCGGGGCGGGAGTCGGGCGCGGCTTCACCCCGGGGCCACTAGGGGAGCAGATGGGGCACGGGTTGGGGCGTGGCCAGCTGCAGGCCTCCCAGCGCCCTTGTGGAAAATGGAGTTTGCTCCGGCTCTCTCCCAGGGCAGCCCTGGCGTGGCAAGTCTGAGCTATTAGCCCCTTGTGACTATTGCATGGGCCAGGCGCGTCGTTACACACACCCCTGTGCCTTGAGGTCTTAAGGCTGCACAATTATCAATCCGTCCAATCAAACCTGCAGTTAGATGCATTTTTTTTTTTGCCCGCTCCTCTCCGGTCACGTGACCTGCAGACTTCTCTGCTTCGGTATGCATCCAGCTCCAATTCCTCTTGAGTATGGCGGGTCTGCTTGGTCATGGTGTCGAATGGCAGCGTTGGGACCCGGCGCAAAGAGGCTTATCTCTTGTGAACTTACCCTGACCCTATCTTAAGCAGCCGTCTCCACCTCTCTGCTCTGCTTATCACAGAGCCTCACTTGTATTGAAACGTTATCTCCAGAAATCTTCCCTTCTGCAGGCATCAGCGTCACCCGACCTTGCCCCTTCAAGGCATCCAGAGTACTGTATCGGTTTTTGCATCCGAGAGTTGTGGCTTACTAATAGAAGGAATAGATAGTTGTTGGATAAAGCCCACCATCAGTTGCTGGGCAAGGAAGTTTTCCGTGCACTAATCTGTTTCTGAAAAAACAGGTTTGGGGCAGTGTAGAGAGAATCACCCTTTGATTGCCTTGTGATTGTGCAAATTACCCCAAAATAAGTGTGTTCCAAATAGATTTGAGATAGGCCTATGTTAGCTGGTTTTTTATGTGATTTGTGAAGGAGAAAAATGGCTTCCCAGTGCAGGGTACTTTAGCACTCTCCTCAGAGGAGTAGATTCAATTTAAGCCTTGGCTTAAATTTTTTTACTCGACAGGCGGTAGTGGTGCAGGCGCCCAGGAGGCCCAGGCAGGTGGATCTCTGAGTTCGAGGCCAGCCTGGTCTACAGAGTGAGATTCAGGACAGGAACCAAAACTACACAGAAACCCTGTCTCAGGGGAAAAAAATTTTTTTTCCCTCTGCACTAATACAGAACCATAGGATATTTGCTGAAGCCAAGTCCCAAAGTCCTCCCCTCCTCCCTGTACTTTATATAAGGCCGAGTGGGGTTGCAAACAGCCCTGCCACCTACAGCCCTTGCAGCTGCCTTGCTATGGGAACCCCACAACACGTACTCTTTCCACTTTCAGTCTTGCTACTTCGACCGGGATGATGTAGCTCTGAGGAACTTTGCCAAATACTTTCTCCACCAATCTCACGAGGAGCGGGAGCATGCTGAGAAACTGATGAAGCTACAGAACCAACGAGGTGGCCGAATCTTCCTGCAGGATATCAAGGTGAGCAGACGATCTAGGGGTGCCTCACTCAGAAAATGAGGCTACGCTGGGCTTTTGCCCTTGTACCTTTTTCAGGCCTGTACTGATAACCAGAATTGGCACACAGCAGTGAGCAAGCATGTTACAGGGGAAAACTTGTCAGAGGAAACTTAGGGCAGAGAATGGTGGATAGGTGTGAGGTGTTTACCACGGGGTGATTGGCAGAGACTGCAGATGAATTGACCCAATGTTCTATTCAGAAACCAGACCGTGATGACTGGGAGAACGGGCTGAATGCGATGGAGTGTGCACTGCACTTGGAGAAGAGTGTGAATCAGTCACTACTGGAACTGCACAAACTGGCTACTGACAAAAATGACCCCCACGTGAGTATGGGAAACGCGGGGCATGAATGGAGGTAGTCACTGCCACGGGGCATGAATGGAGGTATTCACTGCCACGGGGCTTGGGAGAGAGCTGGCCAGTGACCTTCTCCTGTGTTCTCTTTCCTAGTTGTGTGACTTCATTGAGACCCATTACCTGAACGAGCAGGTGAAATCCATCAAGGAACTGGGTGACCACGTGACCAACCTCCGCAAGATGGGCGCCCCTGAAGCTGGCCTGGCAGAATATCTCTTCGACAAGCACACCCTGGGACACGGTGATGAGAGCTGAGCTGATTTCCCCAAAGCCACAAGTGACTTCACTGGTCACTGAGGCCGTGCATGCATGTCGGGCTGCCTTTATCTTTTCTAAAAGTCGCACCAAAACATCCGCTTAAGTTCTTTAATTTGTACCATTTCTTCAAATAAAGAATTTTGGTACCCAGCCGCCGTCTTTGAGGTTGAAGGTGTGTCAGCTCCCAGCTGTGTTGCTGTTGGTGTCACTGTTACGCTCATGACTGAAACAACTAAAAAGAACACTTGTATTTATTAAACTCCTAAGTTTGGGAAAGACGGGGAGACACGGGTTTGTTCAGACAGGACTCAGCACCCCTGGTTCTGAGTTACTTGGCAGACTGTCATGGGAACATACTCTTGGGTGTCTCACACAGCTGTGTGCCTCTGACTGGGTCAGTGTCCTGCTGGCATTCCTGCAGGTAAGGACCAGGCCGTGAAGCATCAATCCCAGGAAACAGGTTAGGTGCCAGCTTCATCCCTGTGGAAGATTTGAGAAAGTTCCCAGCATGAGTTGGGAAGGTGCTTGATTTAAGATTTTATGAGGACAAAGGTTGAAGCTGGTCTTAAACATACCCAGGTGGTCTATAAAAGTTAATGTCCAGCCCCGGAAGCAAGATAGGAATTGTTGCCTTTTTTGTTTGTTTCTATTTACAAAAAAGGGGATGTTCTGATCACAAATGAAACCAAGAATGGGGAAGTGTGGGAAGTTAGAACCCCCATGTGATCAGTATGCAGATGGAATGTTTCTAATCGGGCAAAAGTGTCCGAGAAATTTAAAAGAGAAATAACCATAGCTTTTAGGCTTTTTTGGAAGGATTAAATGAGGCCCCAAAGCCCTGAGAAGGTATCCGAGGAGACCTTACGGCCAGTGCCTTGAAAAGAAGTACCGAGTACTTGGGTATGGGCTGTAGGCAAGTGTTGGCCATCCAGCTGATAGAGCAGTAGCTGGTCCTTGGACTACAGCCTAGCTAGAGTCTCAGGTCTGTCTCAAGGCTCTGTGGTACCATCCATCCATCCCTGCAAAAACTAAACAGTGTGGCTAACTGCCCCCTTCCCCAAGATAGCGCTCCCTTCAGCCTTCTGTTAGCGCAGTCTTACTTTTCTGGAAGTGTTTCTGCTGATGTCATGCTCTTAGGTGAAGTGGGCAAAAGGCCTCCCATCACATGCTTCTTGCCAAGGTGGCTGTTAATAACACCCCCTAGTGTAGGGACATAAGTTCCCCCACCCATCAGCAATAATGGAATCTTGGGAAACGGGTCACAGGCATGGGGGATACAGCTCCTGGTCCAGGTGGACAGACCTGTTTTCCAAGGTAGGATGGGGCTCTGCATGCTCCTTCCGTGTAGTGTGTGTGTTGCTTGGCCCCTGGTCCAAATGTTGTTTTCTAGTACGTTCTGTGGGGCTCTTCTTCGGAATGTTCAAGTTAAACTCCACAGTTTTCCTCTTTGTTTGGTGCTCTCGGGAATGCCCATCACCTAGGAGCAATTCAAACGTGTTCTTGGTGGGGCTGGAGGGGTTGCTCAGCAGTCAAGAGCATTTCCTGCTCTTCCAGAGGACCTGAGTTTGGTTCCCAGCACCTGCATCCGGCAGCTCACAGCTGCCTATAACTCCAGCTCCAGCAGATCAAACACCCTCTTCTGGCCTCTGAGGGTTACCAGCACACATGTGGCATATACTCAAAGACTCACACAACGTATATAAAGTAAAAATAAACCTATAAAACAAAGTGTTCTTGGTCTCAGAAGTCATGGGTGTTAGGTTTTTGTCTTTAGTGTCTATACCTGTGACTAAGTAAGGCTTGGAGGCTGCTGACTGCTCAGGAGGGAAGACCATGGGAGTATGGCTGAGTGGTGTCTGGGGGGCACTGTGGTAGCCTGGCCTTTCAAACAGTGGAGTGGCCCTGAAGGTATCCAGACCCTTAAGTTTCCAGGCATTATCTTCCTGGTCTCTAGAGTTGTGCTTGGCCTTATGGCCCTCCAGGTCCTTCTTGGACCACAATAGTTTGGTCTTTGAATCTGTCCTGGGAGGATGGTGGTCAGTGGACTGCAGCCCTAAGAAGCGTCCAATGATGCCGCCAGGGTTCTCCTCATCTTCGTCATCCTCATTTGACTGAAACTCCATGTCTTCTTTGTCCAGGCTGGAAGGAAAAGGGATGCACAGGACTGAGTGGGTGTGTTGTGGGAATTTGGCCATTCAGTCTAATGACCAATGGAATGGAGCAGGTTGGCCCGATGAGTGTGGTCTTCTCTAAGGCTACCTGAAGCTTTAAGAATGAGAGAGAGGGTCGTGGGGCCCCTTGGGTGGTGGAAGGCTTCCTGATGCCACAGCTCAGTGGCCTAGTCTGGACCTTTCCCCATCCCTCCCTGGTGGATGAAGAGGCAGTGATGCCATTTCATTCTGTATTCAAGAATATGTTACATCCATTTATTTCATCCTTTTTTAATAAGTAAGTCCTGATCCAAGACTTCTGTGGACTGCTACTTTATGGGTGGACCAAGAAAAGATGGGAGCAAGTGCCTGCCCAGGACCAAGGCTGCACAGCCTTCTCAGTGCCTCAGCTGTCAGCTCCCTGGTGGATTCTGCACTTCCCAGGGAGTCCCTCAAGGCCCAGCTCACCTTAGGCTCCCTCTGGTTCACTGGCAACATCCAACTCCCCAGCCTAACATTACAGATTTGGGGGGTGTGTGGGTGTGGGTGTGGGTGTGTGTCCATATGTGAATGAGTGTTCTTGTGTCTGCCTGTGTGAAGACCAGAGGACAATCTGCTTGCATCCTCAGGAAAGCAATCCACCTTCTTTGGGACCAAATCTCCCATTAGCCTCAAGCTCACAGTTAGGCTAGGTATCTGGCCAACAGTCTCCACGGGTCTGCTGTCTCTGCCTCTGCACTGGGATTACAAGTACATGCCACCATGCCTGTCGCTGGGACACGTGTTCTGGAGATCAGACAGTAATTCCCTGAACCCCACCGGCTCCTCTTTATCAGCCGCCCTGTTCAAGCATCTTTCTCCAGACAATCAGAACATCTATCTGCTCCTGGGGAAGCAGCTCAGATAAGCCCCAGCAGCGTCTAGGCAAACTGCAAATTTGCTTCCTGGTGGGGAGCAACATCTAACAAAAGGTGTCTGGCTTCCTGGCAGCAGACTTCCTGAGGCTCCAGGACCTTTAACCTATAACAAAAAGCCCTGGTCCACATCCAAAGTCTCCCTGGCTTTAAGACCTAAGTGCAGGCCAGAAAGAGGTCACCTCTTAGCCAAAGGCAGCCTCTGTTACACTGCGTCCTGCCCAGTCCTTGACCATGGGTTGGAGCCTGCTCAGCTCACTAGCTTGCACAGTCCCTGGAGGCAGGGCTTATGTATTATTACCCTTACCCTCTGGTACCCACCCCAGGTTCAATGCTGGTGTTCAGAAGAAACAGGTTCAAAATATCTTCCAAAATGTTCCTAGTTAATTCTAATTTCAGTTCAATGGACTGGGTCATAAACGGACAGAGAGAACAGCAAAGTACAGTGTGCAAGCACATCAGACACTCCAGAGCCTTCCCAGCTGTCGTCCAGAGGACTGTGGGATGGTCCTTTTGGCCCACTGTGTCTAGGAGGAATTCGGATGAAATGAAATGGGATTGTACAGAGAAGACAGTGGCTACTGTGGGTGGAAGGAAGCCTTTTCTCTGCAGGACAGTCTATTCAGGTGACCCTGTCTCCTACAGCATAGTCCACTAGCTAGCCCTTACTGGGCATGCCTCATGTAATAGCAACAGCTGTTCCAAGTTGCTAGGGAAGCCTTACACTTGAGGTTTTTCTCAACCAGGTCTCTGGCACTGCCTACCTGATGTTGAAGGTGGAGCCCAAGAAGGAAGGTCGACGATACTGGACAGAAGCAGCGGTGTAGGGTGGCTGAGGCTCGGCCTCATTCCAGTACATATCACGCTCCATGGGAGGCAAATCCTGGTGCATCTCATCCACAGACAACAGGGATACCTGGTTGCCAAGGACAGAGGTGGGTATCCAATAGAATGAGTAGCCCAGACAGGAACATGAGCTTGCCTGATGCCTTAGGAATCATCAGTTTGCTCTCTCCGGGCCTCAGTTTCCCCACCTGTGGTACTGAAGAGACTGATGCTTACTTGCAGCCTCCGAAGCTGAGATGTGAATCCTGGGAGTGAATGATTGACTGAGAAAAGGGCTGATGTTTGAGAAGGGGAAGACAATTTACTGTAGGGTCTCCCTGGAAAAATGCTGAGTCCCCTCTTGGGATCCAGTTTGAGAAGGGTCCATGACACAGCCCCCGCCCCCACCCCCCCATACCTGCAGGTTTCTGTCAATGATCCAGTTGGTCTCAAAATCATCGTCATCCTCTCCGAAGGGGTTGATGAGCTGCTCTGCCACCTTTGGGGATGGGGGTGGTGTGTTTTGGGGGGGAGGCTCTGAGAACCTTGACACTCTGGTTCCCATCCTAAGCCTTGGGTCTGGCCACAGCCACTCCCTCATGATGCCTTTCCTACCTAACAACTGTCTTCAAGGCCACAGAATTGGGCCCCGGCACCCTCCCCATGGGGCTTCCATGTTCTTGGTCTCTACTCTGAAGACCACAGCTGTCCCTTCCTGTGTCACTCAGCCAAATCACCCCCTTGATCTCACCCTTGTAACTAGCTCACCTCAAGTTGCATCGCTTTTTGGTACACTTATTTATCTTCCAAGATGCACGTGTTTGCTGTTTTATGGTATTAGAGATAAATGCTGAGGCTGTGCTGAATTACAGTGGCCAGGAGGGGAGTTTCCTGGACACTAATATCTAAAATACTAAAGCAAGGTCTGGAGAGATGGCTCAGTGGTTAGGAGCACTGGCTGCTCTTCCAGAGGACCTGAGTTCAATTCCCAGCAACCACATGGGGGCTCACAACCATTTGTAACTCCAGTTCCAGGAGCTCCAGTGACCTCTTTGGGGCACTGAATGTGGACCGTACACTTATATACATGCAGGCAAAACACTCATATGGATAAAATGAAAATTAAAAAAAAAATTAAAAAATACTAAAGCAAAGCTCCACAGGGGTGATGATTGTTCTGTGGGTTCAGGGGACATCCTGATAGCTAGTGAGGCACCTCAGATAATTTTAAGCATAAAGGTAGTATAAACTAGTTAAGTCTTCAGAAAACAAAGGTAACTTGGGGAGGGTATATTGAGACTAGAATCTTTCTCTCCCTCCCTCTCTGTGTGTGTGTGTGTGTGTGTGTGTGTGTGTGTGTGTGTGTGTATGTGTGCACTCGCGCACACGCATGTGTGTTGGACAAAATAGTTTCTGTGTATTTGTTCACGCATGTGTGATATGCGTGACCTTCTATTTTAGCTGCTTTGTCTTCCTCTCAGGTGGCTGACCTGACCATGACCCCTCTGGCCATGCCAATCGCACGGGGGAGGGCGGTACCCAGTGAGGCCTACCTTCAGCCAGCCCATGTAAAATAGGAATTGCAGGATTGTGAAGACAGGCACGACGAGGTCCATCTCGTGGCCTGGGTAGTTCTTGGCTGGGTTCAAAAACTGCCGCCCCACCAAGCATGCGAGGAAAAAGCTGTACACTGCCACTGTCACCACCTGGAAGGAGAGGAGCCACAGGGGGCAGAAGAGGGCTAAGCAGAGACCCTGGAGTTGGAAGCTTTGAGTCCAAAGCCTTGCTCTGACCTCCACACTCACGCAACTGGGTTTCTATTTGTCCGTGTGTGTGTGTGTGTGTGTGTGTGTTTTGTTTGCTTTTATTTTTTGAGGCAGGGTCTCATGTAGTCCAGGCTGGCATGACACTCACTATGTAGCCAAGGATGACCTTGAACCTCTGATCCTCTGGCCACCAGATCCCTAGTGCTGGAAATACAGGTGTGTGCCACTATGTCCAGTTTCATGAGATGCCGAAGATCAAACCCAGGGAGGGATTAATGTATGTGGCAACACTACCCAATGAGCTTACCCACTCCATTTGCCCCTTTTTTTGTTTGTTTGTTTGTTTGTTTGTTTGTTTGTTTGTTTGTTTGTTTTTCGAGACAGGCTTTCTCTGGGTAGTTTTGGTGCCTGTCCTGGATCTCGCTCTGTAGACCAGGATGGCCTTGAACTCACAGAGATCCGCCTGGCTCTGCCTCCTAAGTGCTGGGATTAAAGGCGTGCACCACCATTGCCCGGCCCATTTGCCCCCTCTTAAGACCAGGATGGTCACACTCCCTGCTGGGCTGGACCAGACAGGGCCACAGATGCTGACCTCAGTGCTAGAAAGAATTTTCCAAGTCCAGACCTAACTCCCAGGATGAGATCTGTGCTCAGTCCCTAGGGAAGTGTGCTTTCTGGATCTTCCTAGCCACCGATTTCCCACAGGGACAGCCTCACCAGTCTCGTCTTTACCTGTGTGTACACCAGTGGGATGCTGATCCAGTCGTAGGCATACAGATGTCCACACTGAGTACGCAAGGTGCACATCTCCTGGAGGGTGGAGGAGAAGGAGCAGGTGCTGGCCACCACCTGCTTCCCCAGAGTCTCCCGCAGCTCTTCCCCAGATACAATGCAATGGTGTTCATGGAATAGCCTTGGCTGTGTGGTCATAGGCAGCTCGCTAGACCTCTCTGTGTCCTAGTAGCTTCAGCTAGCAAAAAGGAGCCAGGACTTCACAGTCTCACTCAGAGAGGGGACAGAGGGGAGATTTGGAGAGGGGCCACCTTGTGCTGTGGAAATCTTGTTCGAAAATATCATACACCACCAGGACAGGCTGTGGGCAGAGCCTCCAGCCCTTTCTTTAAAGGAAGCCACAACACGTCCCACGGCATCCCATCTGTGGGCTCACGTTTATCATGCTCTGGAGCAAGACAGTGTCCCGGATTCGACCTCCAACATAGGCCTTCATTGACAGGTTGGCAAACCACACCCAGGGCACCCAGAATGAGTTGTGTGGTAGGCCCAACTTCTGCAAATGCTTATATTCCTCATTGGTCATAAAGCCTGCGGGGCAGAGTGGACAAGGAATCGGGTAATCCTGCAAAAGAAGCAGCCTGCACCGGGAAACCCAGCCAGCCTGCCTGAGCACCTAGGGATTTCTGTGCTCTTTTATCGTTTGTTTCGGCACACAAAATTACTGAGCCCCAGTTAGGCGCTGTTCTGGACCACACGGGACAGGAGGTGGAGGTGGGAGTGTAGAGGGCTTTGTTATTAGCTAGAGTCAGGCCCCGAAAAAAGTCAAGGGAAAGCTAGGGACCCCTGTCAAGCCATCAAGTCGGGGAAACCGGAGATCAGGACAGGCAGAGAGAAAGGAGGTAGATCCGAATTCCATCAGTGCCCCAGCCCCAACTTTTTCCCTTCTCCCTGAAGGGTTCTTGACCTTTCTCAAATCCCTACCTTTTTCGTTTATTCTGGCCTCGCCCCTCTTCTAGCACTGATTCTGGCCTGCCCAATTCTGTCCCAATTCTGACCCCATCAGTCCTGCCCCACCTCACCCTCTTCAAGTCCGGAGGACTCTGGCTCCACCCAGCGTCAGCTCCCGTCACTCCGAGTCTCAGGCCACGCCTCGGGTCCGCTCCGGCCCTGCGGCCCCGCCCACTCCAGATACTGCCTACCTGCTCGCACCAGGTGCAGAAGGGTGGGAAAGCGCTTGAAGACCGCGGTGCTGACGCTGCGCAGGATAAGCACTTGGCCCAGGATGGCATAGCGGATGAGTGTGCGCCGCAGCAGCCGACCTTGCTCGTCCTTGCCCTCCACGAAGCCTGACACCTGGCTCATAAGGCGGTCCGGCCAAGGCAAGCTCTCGTACTGGTTCCACCAGCGGGTCACCACCAACGTCACATAGAAACCTGGGCAGGAGGGATGAGGGGCGAGGGGCGAGGGGCCGGGCTGTGGCCAGAGACCAGCGCCGGGTGAAGCCTCGGTTTCTCCGACTTCCTGATACATGTGGGCCCAGCCTCAACGTTTTTAGAAGACCTCTGGCCCGCCTTACCCCACTCCCCGCCTCTGGTGGAGGTCCGCCCGTGTGTGTCTGGAGCTAGGGGGCGACCACTGGACCCCAACAGCCGCAAGGGGGCGCTCACCCAGAACAAAGGATATAGGGATGAGCTGAATGTAGCTGTCGCAGTACAGAGCCAGCTTCTCAAACAACAGCTGCTGTTCATTCGAGAGAGCCATTCTGGGAGTGGGTGAGGCATTGAGAGGAAGTGTCTAAGAATGTGTCCCTACTCCCGGCCCGGGGGAAGAGCGGGGCTATCTGGGTGATGTCCTTTCAACTGGTCTGGCTCAGGGTCCCCCTCTGGCTGAGGTGGGTTCTCGGAATGGGTTACTTCCAGCATTTTGAATGTGTGTATGTGGGGTGGTGGTAGTGGTGGTGGTAGTGGTGGGTGTGTTGCCACAATGGTAATGGAACCCAGCCCTCGCCTATGTTAGGAAAACACTCCAGCACTGAGATATATTATATACCCAAGTACTTTACTGACCCTTTTAAACACGCCCAGGGACCGTTGTTTAAAAGTGGTTAAGGGGGGGGGAGGGCTAGAATGATAGCTCAGTGGTTAAGAACACTTGTTTGCACTTGCAGAAGAACCAGATTTAGTTCCCAGCACCCACATGGCAGCTTAGAACTATTTATAACTCCAGTTCCAGGGAGATCTGATGCCCTCTTCTGGCCTCCTTGAGCAATGCACACACATGGTGCACATACATGCATACATATAGGTAAAGCACTCATACACATAAAAATAAATACTTAAAAATAAGTAAAAGCAGGTAGAAACAACGTGCTTGGTATTTTTAAAAAGTGTAAGGTAGAAGGCTTGGTAGCTCCGCTGGTATAGTGCTTGCCTGGCACAAGTAAGTTCAGAGGTTCCATCTTGGCACCACATATGGGATTGAACACACACCACAAAAGAAAAAACGTGGAGAGGGATGGCCAGGCTGAGCATTGAGTTTTAGGGCAATCAAGTGACTCTTGTATTCTAGTGGTGCATACATGTCATGTAAGATACATCTGTCCAAACCCATAGGATGCAGGACACCAGGAATGAACCCTAGTGAAAACTATGGACTTCTAGCAACACGAGGTAAGTTCACTGACTGCAGCGAGTGTGCCAGTGTGCAACTGTGCTTTGCTAGAGCAGAGGGTGGAGTAAGCACAGGAGAGAAATCTCCGTACTGTCTACTTAATTTTCCTACAAACAAAATGCTTTCAAAAATAACTCTTAGAGTTCACTTTCTGTTGCCTGCGCAAGATGTAGAACTCTCAACCCTTTCTGCAGCAGCACATCTGCCTGCACACACCATCATGTCCCACCATGATGATAATGGACTGAACCTCTGAACTGTAAGCCACCAATTAAATGTTTTCCTTTATAAGAAAAAAAAAACCTTTTAGCCAGGCTTTCATCCTAGCACTCAGGAGGCAGAGGCAGGTAGAGCTCTGTGAGTTCAAGGCCAGCCTGGTCTATATAGAGAGTTGCAGGACAGCCAAGGCTAAGTTAGAAAGACCTTGTCTCAAAAATAAATAAATTATAAATCAAGTAAGTTCTAACTTGGCATGGTGGCTCCTGCCTGTGATCCTAGCACTTGGGAGGCAGAGGGCAAGTGAAGCACCCCACTGCAAGTTTGAGGTCACCTTGTCTACATAAGGGTTCTAGGATAGTCAGGGCTATATAGCAAGACCTTATCTCAGAGAACTAATTCACTGGGGCTGGAGAAATGGCTCCCTGGTTGAGAGCACTTGTTGCTCCTGCAGAGGACCTGGGTTTGGTTCCCAGCACCCGCATGGCAACTCACAGTAACTGTAACTCCAGTTCTAGAGGATTCAATGTCCTCTTCTGACCTCCACAAGCACCAGGCACATACATGGTGCACAGACAAAAATGAAGGCAAAACACTCATACATGTGAAACAAAATTTAAAAATCTAAAAAAATTAAAGACAATTAATTAAATTCTAATTTTTAAAGTACCAAATAACAGAACAAACTGCAAGTAGTTGATATTTTTCAATACATAGTAGACGTGATTGCTTTTTAAATTTTTTATTTATGTATTTGTTTTTTATATGTGTGTGAGAGAGAGATCAAGTGTGTGTGTGTGTGTGTGTGTGTGTGTGTGTGTGTGTGTGTGTGTTGGGGATCGAGCCCAAATGACACACATACCAGGCAAATATTTCTCTGAGCGACATGCCCAACTCTGGGTCTTTTTTTTTCTCCCTAGCCTCACCCAGTGGCCAGGGCCTGCCCAGGAGTTCAGCTCGGCCTTAGAAGCTAGCTGGAACATTGGACCCACTCCTTCCCAACTCCTTGACGCTCTCACCCCATTTCCACCCCACCTGCAGGCTTGGAGACCCTGCCTCCGTGAGCCCTAGACACCCCCCCCCATGCTCCGCCCCATCTTCCTGAATCGCTTACCTATAGACTCCACGGATGGCGTAGTAGAGGAACATGAAGATGAGGAATTCCCCACACAGCAGCTTGTAGATGCTGCCACGCCAGCACAGGAGCAGGCAGGAGAAGGAACCGAGACGGGCATTGGCTACTTTGTTTGTGTAGGTGACAGTCATGGCTTGGCACTGTGCAGCAGTAGGTGGCCTCGGGTCCTGGTCAGCAGGCAGAGAGTGATGTGGAGAGGGGAAGGAAAGAATCAAAGACTAAGTTCTGGTCTGGGACGGACTCATAGGAGTTTAGTCCTGCCCTACCCGGGGCCTCTGTTTTTCTAGCCTGGGACACAGAAGGATGGGGTAGGAACACAAGACGACACTGGGCAGGTCTGGGAGTTGCCACGTGCCCTTGGTTTTGTCTAATGACAAAGGCGGCTGCCAGGGCAGCAGCAACATTGGCACAGAGCTCAGGGTCTCAGAGCCAGGCAGTGTGAGTTCTCAGCCCATTCCCCAGCTTCCTCAACTGCACCAGAGCGAGTACCTCAGAGACCCAGGCTAGCCCTGTTCACGGCCATGTCCCCATCCCCAGCACTTAGCCTGGCAGGAGGGAATGCCCTACTCATGGTGACTGAATGGCCACCCCAGGGCCTTTCCACCTGCTGATGTAGCCACCTCAGGGGACGGATGCTTTTCCTGAAGTAATCCCATGGCTCACTTCCACTTTAGAACATCTCCTAGGAAAAATGTCCCCAGCCACCCTATGGGAAATAATGCCTCAGTGGTCACCAGTGGTGCCTTCCCAGTGTGCTCGATCCTTCTACATGGTGTACGGTGCTACTTGAAGTCCATGTGACACAGGACACTCCTGCCTGCTGTCCTCCTCTCCCACTGGAAACCCTTAGTGTGTTCTTGGAGCAGATGCTCAATACAAACTGATTAAAGCCAGGGTTGACTACCCCCTTTCCAGCACCCAGAGTCCACCTCCCCGACAGATGCTGCCAATATGTGCCCACCACACCCCCAAATACACAAGAGTAGTCATCCACCCCTAACGGCCCACAAAGCCCCAGCCCCGTCCACCTGGGGCAACCCCTACTCACAGGTAGGGTTCCGGCAGTTCAGGCAACCTCATACAAGTTCTGGCCACTGGGCTGCTGGCACTCTCTGAGACCCCGGGGCAGGTACCCCTGCCCATACTTGGAGGCTGGCACTGCCCACCCACGTCCGTTGTCACCTGACTGTCTAAGCCACAGCTTCCACAAAGGAGTCCTTGTCTCGGCCCCTCTTGTAATCTGCTCAAGAGCAGCAACCAGCACCGCCCGGGCAATGTTCCTCTAATTCCTTCCTGGAGGTGTTGAGCTAAGAACAGGACGGGAACTAGGGTTCACACCCCCTCTTCCATGGCTCTAAACTTTAGAATAGAGAAATCTGTGCCGCCACCACTGTGTCCCCACTCCTGAGGTCTTTCAGAGAAAGTTGGGGGCAGGATTGAGCCTCAGCTAAGGTACCAGGGCCCCAGGAAAAGGAGTCTTGTCCAGGCCTCTGGGGGCCCCTCCAGAAAGAACTATAGGCCACTGCTACACGTCACTGGCTTCTAGTGACCTATGTGCTAGCCCTCACCGGGCCTCAGCATCCTTGTCTCAAAAGGATGTGTTGCTTTGGAATTTCATCAGCACAGTAAGTAACCGCAATCTGCATATACTGGTGAGAAGCCCTGATTGGCTGCTGGTGACATCATAGGTTGTGGTGGCTGTGATTGGCTGGCAGGGCCTACTAGTAGGTACCTCAGAGGTAGAGAAAGAGAAGAGGACAGGAAGGCCAGGTGTGGCGACCGACCGGGCTTAGTGGGAGAAAACTAAAGGCCTGCTGTTCCAGCTATCTCATCCCAGACAGCCTGAGAGAAAGGCAAACACCTGTGCCCCCAGGGGCAGCTGGGTGGCATCTCAACAGCTGGGCAGACCTTAGCACACCAGTCCTTTCTGAAGGCTCTTGTAAGCACTGGGCTAAGCTGGGAGTTCATCGACAAGCTCGTCGTACCCCAGAGCACAGACTCCGGGGAGCACTGGCTCTCAGTCTTCACTGAGTGAGACAGTTTGTCAAGACATTTGCCAAACATGCAGCTTCTCCGGATCTCTCTCGGGAGTCTGGTGCTGCGTCCTTGGAGACGTTGCATTTTTATCAAGTGCTGCAGGAGCCTGTGGGATTTGGGTGGTCTTGGGAACCACACTTCCGGAAGCCCCAATTTACAGTTTGACCCTGAGCCTTAGAATGAAGCCAGCCTCCTACTCCCTGTCGGGGCTCTCCCTCTTCCCACCTCTTCACCCCCTAAGGAGGCTGAGCCCGCAGGTGATTCTGGACTCTGTATAAGTCCAGAAGGGGTGGGGGCAGGGGGAGGATAGCTATTTCACCATGACCTTGACTACTTTTCTAATCACAGCGAACAATAAGGCTGGTGTTATCCCGAGAGTCTGCTGAGACCCGGCACAACCTTGGAGGAAAAGCAGCCACCCCTCCCTGCCACCCTGTCCCTGTCCTTAGTTAGACAGAGACGGGACAGGACTGATGTGGGCCTCAGTCTTTTCCTCTGAAAAGGGGGTGAGAATAAGTGTTGCTCTGCTGCAGGATGAGAGTGAGGGATGACAGACAAGTCAGACCCGGGGGAGATCTGCAAAGCGCGGTGCCTGGGCCCCACCGGACAGATGCAGACTCGCCTGGCCCAAGTGCTGCTTTGCACCTGTAATGTACAGCCTGGGCTGAGAATCGCTGTGGATTCTTACTTTGCTTTCCCCCTCTGTCCCAACACACACTGACACTCAGAGGAGAGCTTACCACCTACAGGTGGTTTTACACACACACACACACACACACACACACACACACACACACACACACACACACATGTTTGCCATGTCCACATGAGGGTATGAGTTTGGATCCGCAGCACCTACCCATGTAAAAAGCGGGGTATGACATGCCTCTGTGACCCTGGTGCTGAGTGGGACAGACAGATACCTGGAGCTCACTGGCCAGCTGTTCTGGTCAGTGTGGGCTCCAGGTTCAGTGAAGAGACCCTGTCTCAAAAAATAAGGTGGTGGTTAGGTGTGGTGGCATATGTCTCTAATTGCATCCCTTGGGAAGCAGAGGCAGGCGGATCTCTGTGAGTTCAAGGCCAGCCTGATCTACATAGTGAGTGTCAGGTCAGCCAGAGATACACAGTGAGACCCTGTATCAAACAAAAAAGGTGGAGAGCCATGAGACAAACAACCAACAACGACCATGGTCTCCAATCCACATGCATGTCTGTGCACATACATATGCACCCCCCCACTCCCCACCCCCACCCCCCACCCCCCCACCCCTGTCAACATGTTTTATTTGAGGCATGTTCTCATGGAGCCCAGGATAACTCTGAATTTTCTGTGTTTCTCAGGAAGACCTTGAACTTCTAATGCTCCTGCTTCTACTTCCTGAGAGCTAAGATTACAGGTGTGAACCACCATACCTAGTTTATGCAGTGCTGGGAATCCAGTGCAAGACTTCATGCATATTAGGCAAGCACTCCTCCCACTGAGAAATAGCCACAGCCCAATAAATGCATATATATTTAAATTAAAGTTGAACAAGTTCTGGTCACAGTGATGCTAGCATTCTGTTTTAGATTTAAAAAAAAAAAAAAAGCAAACCCTGACTTTGATGGATTCCTGCATCCCTTATGTTGGCCACTAGAGGGAACCATTGACTTGGTTCTCGCTGGGGAAGCCTGCCTGGTCCAGATGTCCAGGTGTCAGTGAGGATCGGAGCTGGCTTTGGAAGGCTCTATTGTCTCCCCGAGCATTACCAGCAGCTAGAGAATCCTTTGAAAGATCTGGGAGGTGCTGGATCCCTTCTTCCCTTTTCCATGAAACCCATGCTCCTCACCGTTAGCTTGGCAATCCCTACAGACCTCTTCATGGTGCTGCTCCCTGCCCACCCCAGACGTGCCAAGATGTCTCCAGAGACACTCTGTGAACAAGCTGCTCCCGGACCCACTCCACTCTAGGCACACTCCAACATAAGACATGGTCTCCCACAGATCTCAGACACGAAAATGTCTCCAGCCAACCAAGCAGACCTCAGGTAAACAGGGAGGATGCAGGACCCCAGAAGGACCCCTGTAAGGAGAGTGCACAACTCAGCCAAGACCATTCTTTTTTATTTTCCATGCCACAAAGAAGTTAGTCAACAGAACACCTCTGATGCCAGCATAGAATCCATTCTAACTCCTGCCTCTAAGAAGTCAGAGCTGAGTGACAATTAGAGAAATATTTTAAAACCTCCTGCAGAAAATGAAAGCAACAATGTCTAAGAGACCAGGGAAACTTACAGAGTGGGAGCATTGGAGTTGGGCCTTGAAACAGGAATAGGAGCTCACAGAACTGAGATGTAAGTGCAAAAGAACAGACCATGGCAAGTCACAGAGGCATTACTGGGAGACAGTTGAGTATGACACACTCAGGGGACACTGGAGCTCAAGGCAGACCTTTTGCCCGAGGTCACATCACTATCAATGATCTAAGACTAGGCCCTGGGACTCTAAGTCTTCTGACTTTGGATCCTGGGCCCTTTCTACCCACAACCATGACCTCTACTCTGGAAGGGGGCTATCCAGGACCTGAGGCTTACCTGTTAGGGTCTCTGTTGGGGTTGAAGGGAGGTCTGAGGAATGAGGGGTATGCAGAGAAGACTTTGATGGTAGCAGAGCCCATGTTCTCGAGTCCCCTGGTAGAGAACCATATCAGGGAGCAGGTAGAGAACAGATGGGCTAACGGGTGAAAGTTCCAGACCCAGAACATTATAGCCTTCTCATCTAGGATCACCATAGCAACAGGAGCATCACAGAGGACCTGACCTCTGCCAGGCAGGTAGAAGAGGACCAGACTTGGCAGAGGACAGTAGGCAGGAGACCCTGGGGTGGGCCCAGTGGGTCTGGCTGCTGTCTCCAGGCTCTGCATAGGGTGCCTGCCAGCCCACTCTCCTCCCCTGGGCCAATCACAGAATAAATAGGGCAGAAGCCAAGAGGAAGAAAGAGGTAGATGAACACAGCTGGGCAGGGAGGCAGAGGACACATAGTAGTGCCACTCCAGGGACAGGAAGGAAGATAGTCAACACCTCTTCTCTGACACTAGGCAGACCTGATTGCTAAAGCTCTGGGGACTCTGACACATAACCTCTGACCCCTTCAGAGGGACAAGGACAGCGTAAGGCAGGGGAAGGCTGGGATACATCAGTCCAGCATCACCAAGCCATATCAGGCCAATGAGAGAGTACAGAACAGATCAGAACCAACAGAAAAAGAGTCACAAGGTGAGAATTCAGCACAGCCTTGGGGGAGAGCTGGGATCCCTGAGCTGTGCTCTGCTTCACGGACTGCAGCCTGTGGAGACCAGCCAGGTGAGGCTCTGACCCTACCCCACCTTTTCACTCCATCCCCACCTGTTCAATGAATGTGTTTTAAAAAACCAGGGCCCCTGCATTCTGAGAACATACTGTGATGCTGGGCTGAGTAATTTGGTTTTTTTGTTTGTTTGTTTTTATGTGTATGGATGTTTTGTCTGCATGTTTATCTGTGTAACACGTGCATGTCTGATACCTCTGGCAGGCAGAAGAGGGTATAGTGTCCCTTGAGACTTGAGTTATAGACGGTTGTAACCACCATGTGGGTGCTGGGGTTCAAAGCCAGGTCCTCCGGAAGAATAGCCAGTTCTCTGAACTGGTGAGCCACCTCTGCAGTCCCACGAGTGAGTTCTTGATGGAACTACGTACTACATAGTCTAAGCTCCCGGGGTTCTAGAAGGCATAGTCTTTTCTCCAAGGGCTCCTCGGCTTTAGTGAATTGCTTTACATGTCTGTCTCCTCCTAGAACGTGGACTCTTACATGGAGACCCTTTAGCATGCACACCATACAGAGGTTTGTTAGAGATGCAAGACTCTCAAGCTCCACCCCAAAGCCCCTGAGTCATAATCTGCATTTACTTTTTTCAGTTACGTTTATCTGTTGGTTTGTGTGTGTGCATGCTTGAGTACCACAATACACATGTAGAGGTCAGAGGACAACTTTGGGAGTTAGTTCTCTCCTTCCACCGTGTTGGTCGCAGGCATCCCACTCAGTCTTGGCTGCAAGCACTCTTCTGGGCTGAGCCATCTTGCCAAATGGGAATCTGCATTTTAAACAAGTTTTCCAGCTGAGTCCAGTGTACAATCTAAATTAAGAGGTTGGCTTCAGATGATAATGAAAGAGAGAAGTCTGTTATTATTTACATTTCAAAGCACTGAACTCTTTCATTTGTTTTTTAGACAGCCCCTGAACTTGATTTGTATCTGAAGATGACCTTGAACTCCTAATCTTCCTACCTCCATTTCCCAAGTGTTGAGGTTGCAGGCCCAATTTATGCCATGCTGGGGATCGAACCCAGGGTCTCTTGCATGCCAGGCAAGCACTCCACAGACCTCTTTTTTTTTTTTTTTTTTTTTTTTTTTGGTTTTTTCGAGACAGGGTTTCTCTGTGTAGCTTTGCGCCTTTCCTGGGACTCACTTGGTAGTCCAGGCTGGCCTCGAACTCACAGAGATCCGCCTGGCTCTGCCTCCCGAGTGCTGGGATTAAAGGCGTGCGCCACCACCGCCCGGCTCTCAGACCTCTTTATACTTAGTTGAAAATGTTCTTTGACACATAAAACTTTTTGCTTTTCCTGAATGTTGATCTTGCCAAATCTAAGGTCCTGAATATTTGCTTACTCCCTGTTTTCTTCTGAGAATTTTATGGTTTCAGCTCCTACACTTAGGGTCTGACATATTGTTAGTTCATTTTTGCAGATGGTGTAAGGTAAAGGTCCAAGGGCTTATGCTGCATATGGATAAGCAGGTGTCCAAGCACTCTTTGTTGGAAAGGCTTGTTTCCCTCATTGAATGGTTGTGGCACTGTTGTTAAAGATCAGTCTGTGACAGATGTATCTATTTTTGGAGTCTCTGCTCAATTCCATTGATCTCTGTGTCTGTCCTGAGGCCAATACTATACTTGTTGCTTGTTTGGTTTTGGTTTGGTTTTCCTTTTTCTTTTGCATGTGCATGAACGTGTAATATGTATGTGTGATGTACATATGTGTATGTGTAATATGTGTCTGGGTATATGTGTGTGCATGCATATTGAGGCCCTAGGTCGATGTCCATGTCTTCCTCAATGGCTCACTACTTCACTTACTCAGGCAGGCTCTCTTGCTGAACCCAGAACTCACCAATTCTGGCTATTGTAACTAGCCAACCTGCCACAGGGATACCCTGCCTCTGTCCCCCAAGTGCTAGAATGACAGGTGTGTGTTAAGTCTCAAATGCTGGGACAAATGGCTGGGGTGCCTATTTAACATGTCAAGGTGAACCTGGCCACCAGGGTCTCCCAGCATCTCTCAGCCCTGCTGTTAGGGCTCCTACTGGCTTTCGTAGCCCCTCCCTCTACCCTGAACTCTCCAGCCCAGGGGGATGGGCTGCTCTTCCCTCTGTAAAGCAACCATTTCAGCTACCCGCTCCTTTAGCACCTTTGAGCCTCCTGGGTGCTGCACTGGTTCCCCTCTCTCTCTCCCCTTCCATCAAACACCTTAGATGCAATCATCAACTGATGTATGAAAAGTTTTGAAGATCATTATCTATAAGTGTATCTGATTTTAGGCTTAACCTTGAAACACACAGGAACCTAAATAAAGCTAAATGAATCACATAACAATTTACAAGTTAGTGGCTTTTATAAGATTAGGATCATATAGCTTTATCTGTTAAGTTCAAACTTTAAAAGTTTGAGTTGGATTTAATTGAAGATAAACTTTTACCATTACAGAATATCAGTTTTTTTTTAATCCAAATAAAGCTTAACAAATGAAGCAAAGACAACAAAGCTAGACAACTATTACTGTGAACCTGAGCAGACCTTAGGAATTTATAAATCTTATTTATCAAATATACCTTATTTATCAAACGTATGTTGTTACTTACATAAATTTTCTAGAAGCTTGATCAGTAAACACAGACTTAAGTAGTTAGACATGCATCTCAAATCAATGTTTGTTAATCTGAGTAGACTTCTGTCTTAGGGTTTCTATTGCTGCAACAGAACACTATCACCAAAAAGCAAGCTGGGGAGGAAAGGGTTTATTCTACTTACACCTCCGTATTGCTGTTTATCACCAAAGGAAGTCAGGACAGGAACTCCAGCGGGCCAGGAACCTGGAGGCAGGAGCTGATACGGAGGCCATGAAAGGGTGTTGCTTACTGGTTTGTTCCCCATGGCTTGCTCACTCTGCTTTCTTATAGAACCCAGGACCACTAGCCCAGCAGTGGCCCCACCCACAGTGGACTGCGACCTCCATCAATCACTAATTAAGAAAATGCCTCACAGCTGGATCTTATGGAGGCATTTTCTCAATTGAGGTTCCTTCCTTTTCAGACAACTCCAGTTTGTGTGTCAAGGTGACATAAGACTAGTCAGTACACCTTCTATAATCTTAAGTTTTCACCGTCATATACAGGCTTCTCAGCCATTTGCCCCAGACTTAGCAGCATGTGCCATCAAGCCCTTATTTATACCGTGGCAGGCGGTGAGTAGGCATGCTGTTTTGAAATCAAAAAGTGTGAGTGAGGCTCGGTGGGTAAGACGACGTAAGTGCAATCCCCACAAGCGGAAGGAGAGAAAGTTGTCCTTCGATTTACACGCTTGCACCATTGCATATGTGCACCAACCTCAACCTTTCCTATGCCCCTACACACACACACACACACCACACACACACACACACACACACACACACACACACACACACACACACACACACACCCCAAATAAGCAAGTGAAAAAGAAGTATGGGTTCTCCAACTTTGGTTATTCAGGATGTGGCTTGGGTTCATTTCTGTTACTTGTAGATGTAACCAACCGTCTTATTAAATAAGAAACACAGAAACAATGTAAAAGAGAAAGCCAAGAAGTCAGAGCTCAGAGCTAAAATCTCACCCTTCCTCCTGCTGTCCCAGCTTCGCGAAAAAAGACCTACTTCCTCTCGGTTCGTATTTTTAAAGTATGTTGTTCTGCCTTCTCATTGGTTGTAAACTCAAACACATGACTGCCTTGTCACTGTCTGAATGTACAGCCCCCTAGGTCTTAAAGGCATATGTCTC